TTTTTTTTTTTTAAAGAGACCCTCTTGGACCTCTTTTACCTGGACCCACCATCATGGCCACATTCCTACCAAAACTGTGATGAAAGTTGTAGTGCTTATTGAGAAGTGCTCCACATGCCAGCAGGGATTTCCACACCAAGTGTGTGTGCACAGATCACCACCATTCCCTGAAAGAAGCTGCACAAGAGGCTAGCAGCTGTGCCACTCATAAGCAGATTCAGGGAGGCCCTGTAGAGGTTCCTCCATCGAGCTGCAGGAGCAGGAGAGAATGGAGAGAATTCTGTTCCTGAGGCCTCAGCCCCACATCATGGAGGTAGACCCTGACACTAGGGGAAGGGGAAGACCTTGGCAGTCCCTCCAACCTGCAGTCCATTCATCTTGCAATGGGGATGAATTTGAAAATACCATATGGAGCATCTGAGTCTTTTTCTGTTGTGTTGTAATATCTTCAATAAACCTAAGGATAGCACAGGTATGCTCGAACATGTATATGAGCAGGCATGTGCACATACACACACACACACACACACACACACACACACACACACACACACACACACACACTACAACTCATCTTGAGGCCTGGGGTATGGGAGGGGACCCAGGGATCCTTTTGTACTTCTTCAAAGCTTTCAATAGATCCTCTTGTTTTTTCTTGTGGTCACCCCTACTTCTAGACATTTTTTGGTGCTCCTGAGCCTTTTGTTCTGGTATCTAATCTGGGTTGCATTTCAGCATTTCCCACTGCCAGCTTGGAGCGTTGTTCTCTTAGATGTGCTGGATCAGTTACTGCATGCACATTCTTCTACCTTCCAGTATTTTGTTGTCAATATCTCTGTGGTTTTATGCCCTTTGAAAAGGAGACCCTAGAACAGTCATTTCAGTAGGATTTTTAAGAGGGATTAGAGTTTGTCTTCAATTTAAAAAAAGCTATTACATGTATTCTTAGGGTGGCAGGACTCTGGTGCATGCTTTTGGAGGTCAGAGGACAACTTGCAAGAATTGGTTCTATCCTTCACCATGTGGGTCACAGGAACTAAACAAAAGTGGTCAGGTTTGGTAGCAAGCACCTTCACTCACTGATTCTCCTCAATATCCCTGTCCTCAATTCTTAGCATATTCCCTTCCCCCAAAAAATATTTGGCAAGTCAAGTAATTGAAGTATTGAAGCTGTTATCCTTTCATCTTTGGAAAAAGTTAGAACCCGTGTTCTATCCTGGTTATTTGTGTGCTCTTGGACAAGCCACCTCCACCCTGGTGCTTCTGTCTCTGCTCGTGTAAAATAGTAATGATTATAACACCTCACCCAAGTGCCTTCCCCAGGGCCCAGAGCAGAGGAAGCTCTGTGTTCAGAGTGCTGAAAGGTTCAATGTCAAAGTGACAATTCTTAGAAAGTCAGTGTTTTACTTAAGCTTAAAATTAGTCTTCACACCTGAATGACAAATTGGTCTATAATTAATGCCTCCAGGGCAAAATTCGAGTTCACCTAGCTTGATGCTTAGAAGTAGTAAAACCTTTCTCAGCCAAGAAAGGAAACTAATATTAGTTGCTAAGGGCCTACTGTGTGCTCATACCCCTTCAATGCCAAGCTACCAGATCCTAAATTGACACAGGTTGTGTGTATTTTGCAGGTTCCATTAGCTCTGGCTTCTTACTCCTGCATGCTGTACCTCTGGCATAGAATTAACTTGTTTCAGGGTGCCCTCTGTGGGTACTCATGCACTTACACTTTGCTGTGTGTTACACAGATGCAGTCAAGTCCAGCTTGGACCAGGCACTGGTACTGGGTGGAGACATAGCTGATCTTTACTATATTTACTTATTCAGTGTGTGTAGGGGGTGTGCATATGGAGGTCAGGGGCCAACTTGAGAGACTAGGTTCTTTGCTCTCACCATGTGGGTCCCCAGGATCAGACTTAGGTCATTAAGCTTGGCGGCCAGTTCTTTTACCCATCTCACCATCCAGCATAGCCTCTCTCTCTTTTTAAGGGGTGTGTGTGTGTGTGTGTATGGATATGTGAATGCAGGTGCCTGTCGAGGCCAGAAGAGGGTGTCAGACACTCTGTGAGCCACAGGAACACTCTTAACCTAGCCACCTTTCCAGTCCCAAGCATAGTTTTCACCGGGAAGTCCCCCAGAACACCTGCATAAGACCCTACTTTCTTTAAAGCAGACTCTGAGGCTCCGGACGGAGAAAGCAGCTCCGCAATTCCTTGGTCAAACTCCATCCTCTCCACCATTTTTCCCTCTTTTGCTCGACCGATCCCTTCCCAGCAGCGGACGACCAGGGGAGTCCAGGCCGGATGCCCAGCAGGTGAGGGCGTGACCAAGGCCCACCGGCCCCGCCCCAGCCTGCAACGCCCCTCCTCTCCTGGACGACCCCCGCCCCCAGCCCTCAGTGCCCCGCCCCTCCCCGCGCCGGCCGCAGTCTCCGCCCACTCCGGGCCGGCGC